TTATTTTGAAAGATGAAGCTCGCGATTATGGTAAGGGGCGTTACATTTCCGACGAGTGCTTGCGGTGTTCGGCCAATCACAATGCACTGGGTCAGCTGGCCAATCAGAGCAGACTGCGCTTGTCGGAAGGAGGGACTTTGTAGAAAACGAAGCGTTTGAGAGAGGCGGGGCATAGAGGACCTACAGTAATGTACAGTATTTGAAAAATAATGTGTTTTTTTAACATTAAAGCATGTCAACATATTCTGTTACACCAAATACACAAAATAATGATCTTTAAAAAAGCATAATGACCCCTTTAAAGTTTTTAAATATACTTTTATAATACAATAATTTCAAACGCAATCTTCAAATTAATGTAAAAAGAACATAAAGACAGTACATTTTTTTATATTTGTTTAGTGGCAACTTTTTTTTATGACTGAAGGCCAGTATCACTGATACCAATACTACTACTGATGTCTCTATGAAATATTTTTCCCCCTAATATTTAACCATTGACTATAGCCATTCACATAAACCCATTAAGCCATAAAGTTATCAAACACTAAATTCTAAATTAAACCTAGAGGAATCCTTTTCTTTTGTTCTTTGATTAATAGACTTAACAGGTTATTAGGTTATTTTGGCTGCTATTACATTATAAGAGCTGCCGCTGCTGAACATGATTCGGATCTGACACGCATCGTATTTTCTCACAACTCTTTACCTTTTCTGACCCACTTCAGGTCTTAAAGTCTCTACTAATGAGCTGATGAGTTGAATCGGACCTTTTCTGACCCACTTCAGGTCTTAAAGTCTCTACTAATGGGCTGACGAGTTGAAACGGGGTGTTACAGTAGATGAGGGAGACAGTGCTGGGCTCCAGGACAGTTTTGAAAACCACTGCATTTCAGAGACATGTTCTTAAATGTGACTCATATACAACAAATACTTACATGCATGCACAGTTTTAAGGCAGCTTTAATCACCTTTTTTGGTAATTTCATGACTTAGCTGACGAATGATATACAACGCGCTGGCGCATTTGTGTGTACAACTGAAGAGCATGTGCTATGATCACAGTATAATGGCTGTCAGGACAGGACAATTCCGTTTTACTGACATATGGCCTGACAACATCTCATCTGACTGCAGTTCACTGTTGTTCTACTGAAGCTCCCTCGTCTCCTGTACCTTTTTTTCACACTGCGTCTAAATAAACGCAATTCTTGTCTAGAAAAAAAAAAAGAGACAGAAGCAAGTGAGTGGGGTGGCCAACCCTAGCTCCGCCCTTGCGTTAATTGCGTTAAATATTTTTAACACTGTTAAACTGAAAGCATTAATCGCATGCGTTAACGCGCTAATTTTGAGAGCACTGATTACAATGTAAATCATATGCAATAACTTGAGTACACCTTTTCTATGATGACCATGCTTTTAAAAATAGCTCTTCAAAAATGAATATTTTTACGAGTTGTTAAATGTCATGTGATTCAGCTCCCCAAAAATGTAATGAAACTTTGAGTGAATAATTATTTGTATTTGCAAAAAAAAATACTAAACTTCTTTGAAAATAATGGTTAAGAAGGTGTATTCAAGGTGTTAGGAAAACGTACTTTTACTTGATGGACCAACACGAATGCAAAGAATGGGGTTTTCGTTGTCATGGGCATTTAAAAGTTGTCAGTGACAACAAAGCCATTTAAAATTCTATTTCAAATGAATTCATCACAAAATCTTAAAAAAAAATGTAAAAAAAAACTACATCACAGTTTCCACAAAAAAATTAAGCAGAGCTGTTTCAACATTGATAATAATAAGAAATGTTTCTTGAGCACCAAATCAGCTTATTGGAATGATTAATGATGACTCTAATGACTGAAGAAATGGCTGCTGAAAATTCTGCTTTGCCATCACAAAAATAAATTACATTTTAAAATATATTAACATAGAAAACACTTATTTGATATTGTAACAATATTACTTTTTTACTGTATTTTTGATCAAATAAATGCAGCCTTGGTGAGCATACAATTAAAAATTGTAAGAATCTTACCAACCACAAACTTTTGAAGAGTATTTGATGTCATTGACCTTTATGTAAATATTCATAGGACTATTGTATAAGACAATATCATGTGATATTGTGTTGTTTTACTTGTGTTGAACTTGTTCTCCATCACCGCTAATATTCAGCTGAAGGCATGAAGCTTATATAAATGCTCTCATACAGTACTCGTACAGTAGTCCTCGGAGTCTGAAAAAGTTCATGTGTGGTGGAATTTGCTTGCTGAGCATCGCTGGGCCACTTGAGAGTGATAGATGAGGCAGCAGTGGTGGCCCAGGGTCCCAATGTGTGTCTGTGCTGAATTAAAACAGCCAGTGAAGAGAGCGGAGCAGCCAGCCCTGACTGATGAACATTGCCCTCAGCCTTGTTCCTCTCCACAGTCAGTGTTTCACTCTCACCCCCCACAGCCTCTGGGCTTTGTGTGGGGATGCTCAGGTACACGGCCACCTGGACACAGCAGGAAAAAAGGCATTAGTGACTTCAGTAATAGGATCTACATCCATGATAGCCCTCCGAAAGTCTTTGAAAGTTGTCTGTCAAGACTAGAAATATGGGAAAACAACTAACATTTTAGTAGCCTTGTCACCTCTCAGTCCATAATTAAAGCGCAGAAGTGCTCATTCTTGATGCTAACCATAAATTTGGGCTCTTGAATATTTTATGACTACCAGCATTATTACACAGTAGACATGTGAAACTCCCCATTAGATAAAACCTGTAAATTGCTGCACTGAGGATAGTGATGAATTACGCTAGCACCCTTTCTGCCTTTTATGGCTGCTTGCTAATGAAGACAAAGACTTGCCTGTAGATTTTGAGAGAATTCTACAAATATGACTCCATTTTTTATACACTGCTGTTCAGAGGTTTTGGGACAGTGAGATTGTTTATATATATATATATATATATATATATATGTGTGTGTGTGTGTGTGTGTGTGTGTGTGT